GTTATAAACTAACTCTCCCATGTTAGAACTGTACAAATTAGTTATGAATGCAACATGGAATAAATGGTAAAACTAGGAAATATGAGTTAACCAAGTTCAGTAAGAAAGTTAAAAAAATCAAAGAAACGCCATGAAAATGAAAATAGAAAGAAATAGAAGGCAATGTGGAAGAAAAAGTTAAGGTATAAAGTGTATGGAAATTAGCAAATAAAAGTAAAAAATATACATTTTTATTTTTTGCATTATTTATTTTTTAAATTTAATCTTTATTGTCTTTTTCATTACCATTTAGTCCTCGTATCCCCCCCTTCCCCACAACAATCACTACACTGTTGTTCATGTCCATGAATCCTTTTTCCTTTTTTTAAAATAAAATGTTTTATTTGTTTATTTTAGACAGAGGGGAAGGGAGGGAGAAAGAGAGGGAGAGAAATATCAATATGTGGTTGCTTTGTGCACCCCCTACTGGGAACCTGGCCTGCAACCTCAGCATGTGCCCTGACTGGGAATCGAACTGGTGACCCTTTGGTTCACAGGGCAGTGCTCAATTTACTGAGCTATACCAGCCAGGCCCTTTTCCTTTTTGCTCAATCCTTCCACCCACTAACCTCCCCCTGCCAGCTGTCATGCAAACCACCAAGGAAATAAATCTAGATATAACACATGTGTAAAGTAGATCCAATGCATATATAAATATGCTTAGTAGGATAGTAGCTGTGCTTAATTAGAGCACGTGAACAAGACAGTTAAGCAATAAAATATTAAAAAAGGCATATATTTTTGAGAATGCTTTCAGTAAATGAAAGAAAAAACCCTACATATGTAGATACCATATGCAAAATATAGCACACACAAAATAGCCAAAACCACAATATATTTATTGAAACATTTAATAATAAAATAGAAAGATTTCTTCTATGGCCAGGAAAAAGGGATCAAGTAATTTATAAGAGGAAAAGTAAATCTCGCCTCAGATTTAAAAACATCATGAACTAAAAATACTATATTTAGCCAATCTTTCTTCAAGTATAAAGGCTATGAAAAAACCATTTTGGATGTGTATGAATTCTAGGAATATTTTTCCTTTGCTGAACTATGTCAAAGAACCTGTCAAGAAGCTAAAACATTTAACCTTACACTAAACTGAATGCAGTTATTAGGGTGAAAATAGAATGCCCTAATAGCAGTAAAGTAATTAAATTCTGAAAAGGGGGAGAGTAAAAAAGGAAGGAAATGGGAGGTGATTTTTTTCTTTTGCCTCATCTTCTGTATTTGTGAATCGAAGGAGCTATTTTGTTCTTACAAATGAAATAATAAAGCAGAAAGGTCTGCAAATAGTTCTTGTATTCTAAGAAAAATGGACAACATAAAGTTGTTCATTGAATTGTTTTATGTATATACAGTAGATAAAGTTTGGTGTTGTTGTTCAGCCCTTACATATCTTCACCGGGTTTTTTCTATTGTGTTTTTCTGTTTATTTGATAAGTTTCTGGAAGAAGTATGATAAAAATCTTCCAATTCCCTCATTTTCATGTAGAAATCTAGTTGTCCCAGTATTATGTATTGAAATTTTTTTGTTTGTTTCCATGATTGGTCATGGCACCAGTGCTGAAAAACAAGTTAGTAGCAGAAGTGTGTGTTTATTTCTGGACTCTCATTTCAATTTCAATTGGAAAGTCTAATTCTTGCATTTTTTCATGATTGTTTTGAATATTCAGGCTCCTTGCAAATCTGTATGAATTCGAGGATTGATTTTTACATTTCTGCAAGTAAAGGTTGTTGAAATTTTGATAAAGATTACATTGATTTTTTTTCAAATTTATTTTAGAGCATTTTTTCAATTATCATTTATCCCCCTTAGAACATCTTCCACCTCCATCTACCATCTTCCCATCTATAATCACCACCCTGTTATCCATGCCTGAGTCCTTTTTCCTTTTTCCTCAATCCCTCCACCCTCTAACCTTCCCTCACATACTTGTCACCCCGCTCGCTCTCTATCTGTGAGTCTATCTCTATTTTGCTTGTTAGTTCAGATTGTTCATTAGATTCCAAAAAGAATGAAATCATGTGGTATTTGCTTTCTTTTACTGGCTTATTTCTCTTAGCATAATATTCCCCAGGTCCATCCATGCTATCACAAAGAGTAAAATTTTTTTTATTGCTGAGTAGTTTTCCATTGTGTAAATTCACCATAGTTTTATCCATTCACCTGCTGATGGACATGTGGGCTGCTTCCATATCTTGGTGATTGTAAATAATGCTGCAATGAACATAGGAGTGTTTATATTATTTCGAATCAGTGTTTTGGATTTCTTAGGATAAATTCCCAGAAGTGGAATCACTGGATCATAAGGCAGTTTCCTTTTTAATTTTTTGAGGTATCTCCATACTGCATTCCACAGTGACTGCATGAGTTTGTATTCCTAACCACACAAAAGGTTTCCCCTTTCTTCACATCCTTGCTGATGTGGACTCCGGCCAGCAGGGTCCATATGTTATGGATGAGATGAACAAATTCACATTGACTACAGAAGTCCTGTGGAGAAAGAGGGATGACCTGGATGGACACTTTCTGAGTGACAGAGCCCCCTGAACGGGGGCTGGACGGGCTTGTCTGGACGGGCTTTTATTGCTTTCTGGGAGCATTATCTCAAGGAAAGTCTTCATTCATCATTGTCAGGAAGTAATGATCAAACAATAGATAACATTCAAAGAACTACAAGAGCTTATTCTGAGTCAGGGTCAGTTACCTAAAGGGCCATAAAACTTCGGGAAACAAACTCATTTCTTGTTTGGACCCTTGTCAGAAAATTGAGGACATTCTTCGCAAAGTAGGTTTCACAGGATTTTATGCATTTTTTTCTTAGGCCTGATCACACTGGGGAAGCGCCCATTCCTCCAGAAGGCTGCACCACCCTCCAGCATTGTTTTGGACTTAAGTCAGATAGGGGAAGTAAGGAAGCCGAGAAATTAGGAGACTTCTTGCAGACAGAATGAGGACTCAGGATATGTTAAAGCCAAGGGATGAGGGTTCATCACCCACTTTTTATACAGCCTCCCAAGTTCATCCCCTAGGGCCCCTTCATGACCCTGCCTATCTCACGTTGTCCCTCCCTTGAGGAATCTTACTCATCATTGGCTAACTGGTCATTTACTCAGGGCCAAGCAGTGTGAAGTAAAGAGGGCAGAAGCAGCCCCCCTACCAGGAAGATAAGCTTTGTTTCCTTAGTGGCTTATGGTCCCAAGGTCTCTCACTCAGCCTTAGCCATGAGGGGTTACAGCTTCTGAAAGCAGGCAGGGTGGTTCCTTATACCTAACCAACACTTGCTGTTTGTTGATTTATTGATGATAGTCATTCTGACCAGTGTGAGGTAGATTACATTGATTCTTTACATAGTGTTTGGTGGTATTGCTATCTCAAGAATGTTAAGTCTTCTAATACATTAGTTTGGTGTGTTTTCATTTATTTAGGTGTTTTTAAAATTTATTTCAGCAAGGTTTTGTAGTTTTCAGTGCACAAGTCTTTCACCTCCTGTGTTAAATTTATTTCATAAGAATTTTATTATTTTTTTAATGTTTCAGATGAATGCTAAGTATATCTTTCAACTACACTTTATTTATGGTTTATTTATTTTAAACTTAAAATAAATGGTATTTAAAATAAATAAAATATTTATTTTATTTATTTAAAATACTTTTGACTTTTATTGTTGTTCAAGTACAGTTTTCTGGCTTTTCCCCCTACCTCTCCCCACCACTCCAGCTGTCCCCACCTCCCTCCCCTGTTTGCACCCCCTTTGTTTTTGCCCATGTATCCTTTATAGTTATTCCTGTAAACCTTTCACTTCTCTCCCCCATTATCCCCTCCAATCTCCCCTCTGGTTACTGTCAGTTTGCTCTTAATTCCAATGTCTTTTTTTATATTCTGCTCTCTTGTTTTGTTGATTATGCTCCAGTTAAAGGTAAGATCATATGGTTTGGGAGATTATTAATTATTAGCATGTAAAAATGTGTGTGAAATATTTAATTTTTATTAAATATTTATTACATATTTATTTTATTAAATATTTTATTTTATCAAATAAAATTAATTAAATAAAATTTTATCAAATATTTAATTAAAATATTTGTGTGTGGAATATTTAATTCCTTCAATTTTCCTTCTTTATTCCATAATTAGAAATTATTTAAAATTGTAATAGTTACTTGAGAGATAACAATGTGTAATCATAAATTACAAAATTTGATGATAGGTGATATTTTCAATTTTTTCCTGAATCCTTTAGATACCTAAAAATATTTAATTCTACACACCTCTATTTAAGTTAAATATATTCTGTATTATTTTATGTATATTTTCTTAAGACTTAAATTAACTATGCTCTTTAGTCTTTTCTTTAATCTGGGGTTGTTTGTGACAATCTATTTCGCTTTTCAATTTATCTGAATCAGTTTTGTTCGGCCTTCATTTTTGAAAACTACTTGGATTAGGTATAGTATTGTAAATTTGCCCTTATACTATTTAAATACATAAAACATATTATATTTTTTATCATTCACTAATTATTTTCATAGATCTGTGCTTTTAAATTGTTTTTCGATGTTACTGTTTCATACTTTTAATTTTTTAGCTTTATTGAGGTATAATTGACAAAATTGTGTTTGTATATACGTTTTGGTACAACATGATGCTTTAGCAAGTATAATGTGATGATTTAATAAATGTACACATTGTGAAATTATTATAACACACCCATCACCACACATAGTTTTTTTTCATTAAATTGTGTTTTTTAGATACATTTCTCTCTCTCTCTGTCTTTCTCTCTTTCATATCTTTAGCTATTTTCAAGTTTCTCTTTATTTTGGTTTTATTTTACTATGTGGGATTTAGGTGCAATATATATTTTAAATACTCTGCCAGTAGTGTTTTCGGATGCTTGCAATGTTCCTACTTATAGAGTATAATACTATAATCTGCTGCTTCTTCTTTTTTTCACTGTTCCTTAACTCTGCCCAGCAACAGCAGAATGGCACAATGTCAGCTGTGCACCAGAAAGAGCCAGGAATTCTTCTGCACTACAGCATACCCTAGAATGGGGAAAATTCCCGTCCACAGGTGTAAATATGGCGCTGCAATAATCCGCATCTGTAGCAGTCTATTGTTTGTTGTGATACGTGCGATATCTTTTATTTTCCTGAACCTAATTAACCTAAATATTTTAAATATGTATTGTTAAAATACATAAACATCTGTAGTTTATTCAAGTCTTATTTTTTCTAATTTTTTGTTCCTGTATAGTTCAGTGTATAATTATTTTTGTGTTCGCATTATCTTTGAATTCAATTGTGTTAAAAATATTGTTTGTGGAAATTATCGAGATTTAGTACAAGGATATTTTTCTTCAGAGACAATTTTATTTTGCTTTCTATAGGAACTTATGGACACTAACAACCTAATACATGTGTTATGTACATTCAATAATCCATGTATGTACAACATACATAATATGCAATACATAATATATTATATATTCAATAATCTAATATATATTCAAATCATAAATTTAGGGTTTTTTTTTTATTACTAGAAGTGTAGATGCTAGGCCACAGTTCATATGAGAGATGTTTACTTTTGGCTCATATTTACTCCCCGTATGCAGCATTTTAATATTTAGTCAGTTCCCAACTGTTGGTGAGTCCTGGGGATCAATGTTGTTTCCTAGGCTGATTAAACCACTACTAAACATCTCATCTATGCCTTTTCAAATGAATACGTGCCTCAGGCCAGTCTTGGCTACTTAAGTGATTATTATGTGATCTCATTAGTTTTATGACACAAATGATATTACCATTTTATTATGTTGTCGTCAGTGGGTGGGTTCTGAATTGCCTAGTACGTTCTCTTTTATTTTATTTTATTTATTTATTTTATTGTTGTTCAGTTACTATTGTCTCCATTTGTGTAGTATGTTTTTAATGAAAAACTATTCAACCATTAATCTAATGTTCTAGATGGTTGGAGATGAAATGAAGTCCCTCAACTAAGTATACTATTGTCTATGCCTTTTTCCCCATTTACCTAGTAAAGTTCTTGAATAAGATCACATTTTGATAAGCATTTATTAAATAAACAATTTGAAATAATTTAAATTATATTTTTATTTTAAGTAACTTTTTTGCCCTTTATTGTGTCTTAATTATATAATTTCATTAATCATTTATTTTTAGTATGAAGTCATTAGTAGTAAAATATAAATGCTGCCCAACACTGTTCAGTTTTGTTACAATAATGAGCCAAATATTACATAATTAAATGAGTATTGTTATAGTACTTAGAAATTCCTTTAAAATGTAGTATATATTGTTATAGTTTTTTATTTATATTTTTTGAACTAGGTTAAGGTTTCTGGATAAGCTGGAAAGCATTGTTATTTTTATATTTAAAATAACTGAAATAACTAAAATTACTCTCAAACATAATTTCAGCAATAAACTATGCAGAGAACAAACACCACCTCCATTCACATACGCATGCACACATACACACACACAAATACATGCTCTTAAATAATAAATCAAGATCTCTTATAATTTAATGATACATTGACCTAAGCATTTTTAAGAACGGGTAATAGGACCAATCTGTGGAACTAAATAATAAGTTCAAGGTATATATCATAGAATTGATAAAAGTTTCAATATAAAAAGTTAGTTCTTATGTATACATGGGGAGACAATATGCCTATCCCACTTTTATTCAAGATCTCACTCTGATATCAATGAACTATGGCACAATCTTACCCCTTGCATGCTGGTTCAATATTCATCTTGTACATAGACAGTGATTATTGATGAACAGTTAACTAATGGTAGCTAGAGGAACTTAATTTTGGCCCTCGCATTCCTTTATAACTGGCATATTTTTCTTAATGAAAACTTGATATAAGAGAAAATGAGACACACATTTACTAGAATAAAGAATGAGAACTAAACCTTATTTATGTACTAGCTGTGGAACAAAATGCAAGTTTTTTAATGATGTTGTTCCTTGTTTTTCTCATTTCTAAATAAGAGTAATTTTGTCAGGTTTATTTTAAGGTCTAGGTGAACTAACTGATAAACATTCTTGATAGAGGAGTATCTAAAATTTTTGTCATTGTTATTATTATTGCTATGATCATTATTGTTATTACCTTCTCTATGACATGGGTAGGTAGAAGGTTAATGGTAAGTAGAAGGTTAATTTCAGTCTTATGGTAGGTAGAAGGTTAATTTCACCATTATGAACTACAATGGACTCTTCAGTGGTCTGACCCACTAAGGATTTTACACAAAAAGTTTGGACTTATCACAGTGGGATTCATTTACTCCAAAAGCAACTTAAAAGTCTTAGTATTAACCATTACTGATATACTACTTTATCTTGATTACTATGAGAAAGTAACCAATATATAGAAATCTAAATAACTATCTGGAAGTGACAATTACCTAGTTTAAAAAAAATTCTAAGCACCACACAAATTAAACAGCTGTAGAGAAAGTAAATATATATAATATATGTAATATATAATTTTTGAGATGAAATATGTATATGTATTTTGTATATACACATATGTATATATTTTATACATATACAAATGTGTGTATATATACACACATATTTTATCTTAAAAATCTTAAAATGTGGCTGATAGAAAATTTCTAATTACATGTGTGGCTCATATTACATTTTTATTGGGCAGCTCTATTGTAAGTTTACAGATTCTAAATATTTTTTTTACCTCACCTGGATAATATCTGATTTTCCTGTATGTAGGCAAAAAGGTTTTTTCTTTTCAATATTAAAAACACTGGTGAAATTAGTTTATCATGTTATAGATGTAAAATACATTTAAAATATGTTCTAACCACCTAATGGTTGTTACATTAGTGTTGTGCTTGCCTTTACAACTAGGCAGATAAATAAAAGCAAATACAATATTAAAAACTATACATAAAACATTTAATATAGGTGAAATGTATCACTCTTTAGTGGAAAAATATGAATTTTCAATAAGTGAAATTGGAAAAATGAATTCAACTTTTTTATAAATGTTAACCAATACAAACACAAAACTTTAGATGGATTATTTTTATTATAAAACATAAAACTATAAAATACTAAAACACCGTGAAATTAGTAAGCAAAATACAGACATTCTTGACCCATCTTTCCCTTTCAACACTGTTTGGAGTAAAATAATTGCAAATGTAGTTTTGGTCTCACTTGATGTTAATAAGCGAAATAAATTACTCTGCCAATATCCTTGATTAGGGAGGTCTGGTGATTCATTTTGCAACATTCTGAATCAAAACTGAGACAATAGAGAGACATGGGGAACTATTTACTGATCGTTAAAGCCTGAATTAAATCTTATCATTTTTCCCTTTCCATTGCAGGTTGGGCTAAGTGATCCATGGTGAAGAAATGCAGTCTACTGGCTTACTGCCAGGAGTCCTTGGAAGAATTGCCCAAATCTTCCAACTGTAGCACACCTGGCATGTGCCTGCACAGGTGGATTAAATAGCCTCAAAACTGAGAGATTGGAAGGACATAATTCTTGCAACAGCAGTGAAATGTGAGCAAAGAGACTCCATCTTGGTATCTCAGTAGAGGGTGACAGATGTCTAAGTCATTACATGTCAGATGATAACAAACAAATGATTCCACCATCCATCTGTTTATCTATGCCTCAGCTGAAGTGCCATATAAATACGATGAGGTGAACATGAAGTGTAATTAATTTGTGATGAATCAGTAACATGTATAACAAAGACTGAGAAAAAATGTTGGACCCAGCCATATTGAGGTTAAATTATAGTAGTAGAGAAAATTTTAATAGAATGGATTGAGATAGTCAAAGATATTTAATGTACAATACCAAAATTTATTTCTAAGAAGGACAATAACATCATTTTTGAAAAACCAATTAAATGAAGGGAAAAGTTTATTACCTATAGACGTCAGAGGAAGAAAATATCTAATAACAAGGAGAGAGAGAGAAAGATTTTATAATAATAAGAGTTAAGAAAACTAGTATGGAGGACAAAATACCCAAAACAATTCCAGAAGACTAAATTAAGAAATAATTAAGTAATGTTGCAAAATTAAATTTTAACTATTCCAGAGCTTTTAAATATTTATGGGAAAAATGAAAATAAAATATGCATATATAAGTTGAGTGACTTTTTTTTAACTCCAAAGATAAACAGAAACTCTTGAAAAGGAAAAATAAGAGGGTAGAACAAAATAGTAAGTATTAAAAAATATAATAAAAATACATCTATTATCAAAATAAGTGATAAGTGACTGACTTACCCCTTCAAAAAAACATTAATTGTAGACTCAGAGAAAAAAATACCATGAATTGAAAAGTGTAAAAATGAAATGTTAGGTAATAACAAATAAGGCAAATACAAACATCATTTTACAATAGAAAAATAAGATAGTAAATTAATATTAAAACAATGTGTTTACTAAGAGAAGAATTATTTAATTATAAAATATAAACCCAATACAAATTCCTATTTCACTGACCATTATTTGATATGGCCTATGAATCTTTAGTGATGAAAATTTTTTAAATTCATTTGATTTAAATCATATAAATTTTAATGTGGCACCTTACACATATATATCATAGGTAAAATATATAACATTATATAATTCATATTATAGTATAATACATATTCTCTGACTATAGGACAATCCTGTATTATATATATCTGAATATATATAACTTGCTATTTTTAACATCAAATATTATATTACTCCTTTAATATGTTGACTAATTGATATGTCATTCATTAGTGCTTTTAATATTTCTCAGTATTTAAATGGCTTATATTTTATCCCTTTACAGACTTTTTGTTAAAAAAATGTACTTAATTTTAAATGAAGGTTAATATGTTTTTTTTTAAAAGACAAAACACCTATTAAAAATGGTAGGTATTAGATTTGTACCAGCTATAGAATAGTCTTTTCATTTGTCCAGATGTAACAGTTCTTAAAACATATAAATTCAATACACAAAAGAAAAATATGTTTAAAAAAGCACACAATAAACTGTGCACCATTAAAACATATAACTGC